TTTGTTTTCTCAGCAACTTCCAAAGAAGCCCTTGACTCGGCAGGATTTTTCACACTTGTGACAGCAATGAATTCAAGTGTGATGATTACAAATTCTAGTCACAGTTGATACCAGCAATGGCTGTTTAGAAACAGCTGATAATTTAGGTTTATGCACATGCTAAAAAGCACCAGAGATTGCTAGCACTGCATTAGCCAGGCAGCTTGCCCACCTGCGGTGCCTCAGTGAGACATTTCCAAGCGGATCTGCAGAATTCCCTCTGGCACCGCTGTCAGTCACAGGGTTTGTCAGTGTGAAGTGGAAGCCTGGCTTGGAAAGCAGAGGATACTTCAAAGTCACTATGAGCTTTCCTCACATTTTTAGACAAGCATTTTCCCTATCTGTTAGATATGGTGTTGGGTAGAGCGAGGTGGGTATGGTGTTGGGTAGAGCGAGGTGGGTATGGTGTTGGGTAGAGCGGGGTGGGTATGGTGTATTACTCTTTCAAACAACTCGGGCTTTTTGTTGTTGTTGTAATTCTATATTTAAATGCATTTGGCAGAAAGAGTGAAGTCTGCCAAGTTAAGACTGCAAAACTGGAGGTTGGGACCATTAACTCCATATTCTTGTACCACAGACATCAAATACCGTTTTGTATACCCTGGATAAGTTGGTTTGGGGTTTTTTTGTGAGTGGGTGGTTTGGGGTTTTTTTTTCCAATAAAGGGGAGAGGATTTACAGTTTGTAAAATATTTCCTACCTCTTCTAGCAGAACACATCAGCAGACAGCGAGGTCTTCTCTTGAGCAGAGAGATTCTGCTGGAGAAGTACAAAGTCTTTCAAAGGAGGATCTTTCTCAGATGTCAGATTGCAACAATCCTTATTGTCACTGCTGTTTTGTTGGGGGTTTTTTGGGGGGTGGTGGTGTTAGTTTTGGTTTGGCCTGGGTTGGGGTTTTTTTAATAGGCTATCCAAGTAAGTAATTGTTTGTTACATGAATAGATTCAAAGTCAGGGATGCTCAGTACATTATTTCACTGTCTGATAGGAGAAGAGCCTCTTTATAAAGCTTTTATTTATTTTAGACATAGCAGATGCTAATGCAGGGAAGAGTCACTGCAACAATCTGCATGTTCCCGTGTCATTATGGTACGTAAGTACCTACCAAAGTGAGCCAAAAAGGAAGGTCAGATGGATTACAATTTTTAAAAGCAAGATTTTAAAAGCTAAACCTTGAACATTTCTCCCTCATAACTCCACCAAGTGCAGCGAAACTACACCAAAGATGAGTCTGACCCTGTGTGACTTAACTACAACATATTTTATGTTTACTGCACACATCCATTTCTTTTCCTGCAAGCCTGACAGCAACCTGATTTGCAGGTGTGCTCCTTAGACTTTTACTGTTCTACTCTCCTGGAATCAAAATCTCTGAGTAGGAGGGATTTTATTTATCCATAAATTAGAAAGGCACTTTTTGCCATTCCTACAAATAAAAACTGCATCAGCTGAGGTCCATAAAAAGATTCTTCACCATATTCAGCCAATTTGGATTTAGTTCTGCTGTGCAGAGTGGAAAAAAAAAAAAAAAAAAGAAAAAGAAAGAGATTAATAAGGCCTACAAAAAGATTCATAAGCAGTGATTCCCATTTCCCCTAATGCAGACCCTACCAGTCTTACACTCTCCTATAATGCTCTTGGACATGAGCAGTAATAACACTGAGTTTTGCTTAGGCTAGAAGAATGTGAATAGGAATTTGCTTGATGACTGCAGAGTTAGAACCTTAAAAAAAAAAAAGTACAGAAAACAGAAAACCCAAACCAACACAGGTCCAGGTTCAGCTATTTAAGTGGTGGGGTACAAGGAAGGAGATCTATTAGGCCTGGACTTAAATTGAAGGCTTTACTCTCTCAGGGGAAGGCTTTGGCATCCTCACCAAACCTCAGACTTCAGCATTAGTGAAACAGCATGCAGCAGAGGGGTGGAAGAAAATGCATTGGCAGCACAGGGAGCAGCTCTTGACTGTTGAGCTTAAAACCCCTTCATGCCTCCCCCATCCATTCACTGCCTGAAACTGCCTGAATTTGTGGGGGGGAAATACCATTGCCCTACTCCCTGATAAAACCACTGTTAGCTCAATGTTTTCTTCACG